GCTCGCTGCCGAAATCGTACGACCTTGCCGCCCCATCCTTGAAATCGTGTAGCGCCTCGTACACATCTCACCTTGCCGGCACATTAGCTGGACGAAATCAGAGCCGAGATGAAGCAGAGCCCACCGAAGCGACCACCACACTTGGTGATGGTCTGCGTTGCGCCCAACCACGCCATCAAAAGGTTCTGCGCACCACCCACGCGCTATGGGACGTGTGTTGTGCTGACCTACAACGTCCTCGCTTGTCACCACATGAACACGAAGCTACATGAAGATGAAGCAACAAGCGTGCCAAGCGGTGGGGTTCACGTCGTCGGTGGTGGAGCTCGGAGCGGAGACTTCGCAAGACGCACTCTCGCGAAAGATCAACCAGCACACCACCGACGCGTCTGTTGACGGTACCACACCCTCTCTTTGCATCCCCCTCCCACCATCTGCAAGCGCTTGGTGATGACGGCGATCGCAATGACGTAGGGGTCATTGTACAGTTGCCTCTCCCAGAGCACATCAATCCGCAAATGGTACCACACTCGTTTGTGCCTTATGGAAACCTCATCATCATCTCATCCTCATCCTCATCCTCATCATCTTCAATAGGCCATCGGTGCCATTGGCGCGGCCAAGGACGTGGACGGGCTGCACCCTACGAACGTCGGCGCGTCTGTGCTGGGATTGTACGTGTGTGTTGTGTGCCGCGTGTGTGGTGTGTGTGGTGCGTTCGATTAACGCTGTGGTGGTGGTGGGAAACAGTAAGGGCGGGTTCTTGCCGTGTACGCCGGCGGGCGTGTTGCAAGCGCTGCAGCGAAGCCGGATCTCGCTCGAAGGACAGCACGTGGTGGTCGTGGGCCGCAGCAAACTGGTGGGCCTCCCGCTCGCCAACATGCTCATTGGTACGCAAGACAAGGACTCACACCACTGCAATGCCCCTTATAATGGCGAACTCACACTAGTCCGTGCGTCGTGTTGTGTCGTGCGTGTGTCGTGTCGTGTCGTGTCGTGTCGTGTGCAGGAGGAAGGGACAGCGCAAAGGGAGGCCGGAAAGGACCGACGGTGACTGTCGTGCATTCCGGCACGGTCGACATTCACGTTCATACGCGGATGGCCGACATCGTCATCGTACGCGCACAACACCCGCTACATCGCTGCGTTTTGTGTAGTGGCCTGATTGAGGGGAGCGGTGGGTTCATTCGACCAGGTGGCGGCCGGCCATGCGGGCTTGATCACCGCTGACAGCGTCAAGCAGGGCGTCGTCCTCGTCGACGTGGGTTCGTCTTTCATCGAGCCGACCCTTTCGAGCGCTGCTTTGTCGTTGGCGCTGACCTCGATGCATTGTGGTGAAAATTGCGCGCAGGCATCAACCACGTTCCCGACTCGTCGCGCAAGTCCGGCTACCGGTTGGTGGGCGACTGCACCGACGAGGCCTACCGGAAGGCCTCTCGCTACACGCCCGTGCCCGGCGGCATCGGTAGACCCACCCAGCACACCATAACACAACACAACATCACATCACATATTGCCAATCATTGACAGTGTCATGTGCGTGGTGCAGGTCCCATGACGGTGGCCATGCTGATGCGCAATACCTGGGAGGCGGCCAAGAGGCACGACATGTAGTATGCTGAGCTTCCAACTTTAACATCAGAGGGATGCGGGAGTCAGGGAGAAGACGGGCCAGCTGGTGATCTTGGCGGTGGTGTCGAGGGCGAGCGCGTTCTGGGCGTAGGGCGAGATGGGCGTCACCGCCACCCAGCCCTGTCGCATCGCCACCGTGTCCAGCTCCTCGTCCGTGTCCGACAGCTAATCACACACGCACGCACACGCGCGCACACACACACACAACATATGAGCTTAGCGGTCACGCAACGACGCACGCGCAGCAGCGACGCGGTACCTCCATGAAGCCCTCCATGCGGTAGACGGTGCGGGTGGGGTGAAGGTGCTTTTCCTCCTCGGTCATGTGGTGCCGCACGTACTTGTCCTTGAAGCTGCTGTTGCCCTGCTTTGTGAGCTTGTAGCCCTGTCACACGACACACGCGACACGACACGACACACACGACACGACACGCGAGACGGACGCACGCGTTAAGAAGATGCTGCCCTGTCCTGACATGCGTGCTGAGATGAAGCGGGGGTACCTTGACTTGGTCCTCGGGCACGTTGGGGAAGTTGACGTTGCAGCAGATGTTCTTCCACAGCGAGATGTCGGCCAATACGGCGTCTAACACATTTGCCATGACATGTGCAATAATTCATCGCATGAGCCAGGGCTCGCAGGGAGAAGCACACGCTAAAGAGAAGAGAAGAAGAAGAACGAAGAAGAAGAAAACATGAGAGAAAGTGTGTGTACCGATAATGGGAATCGCCAGGGACGCACACTGCGCGTAGCGCCACACACCTGGAAGGGAGTGGTAAGAAGTGGCAATGTCGGCGAAGAGAAATGTGGTGGTGTGGTGTGGCGAGCGAACCTCCAATGGCAAAGTTGTATTCGAGCGAGAGGGCGATGGACGGAATGTCGTACATGCTCGCCTCCAACGCCGCAGCGCAGGTGCCCGAGTAGATCACATTCAATCCGTCGTTCTGTCCCGCGTTGATCCCTACCATCGCATTCAGCCATAGCCGTGTGTGTCGTGTGTTGTGTCGTGTGTCGTGTGTTGCGCGCATACCAGAGACGACGAGGTCGGGCTGCCAGCCGCCCAGCAGGTCGGACGTGAGGGCCACCTTGACGCAGTCTGTGGGCGTGCCGGACACCTTGTAGGCGGGCACATGGGCGAGGTCGGAGTGGAAGGCATAGGGCTCGGCCCAGAGGGGCTTGAAGATGGTGACGGCGTGAGACTGGGCGGATTGCTGCTCGGCCGGGCAGGCCACGCGCACCTCGTAGCGGTCGTGGTAGCGGGCCAACTGGTGCAGAAATCACAGCGGGCATGAGGGTTGATGCAACTACTCAAGG